CAACTCTGCCTCGGGCTTCCTGTAGTCAGCCGCTGGTCAGTTTCAGCAGCAGCTGAATCTGGACGCCAGTTCCGACTTACATACAAATTCAACTTAAGAACAAACGTACAGTCCCTATCTTGTACGTAACCTGGGGACTGCCTGTATAACATCTAAGTATTATTTAATATATAGAAAAGTCTAACAAACCCCCTTCACCCAGTTAATTAGAAACACAAATAGTTATTTGTCCAAAGGAAGTTTCAGCAGCAGCTGAATCTGGACGCCAGTTCCGACTTACATACAAATTCAACTTAAGAACAAACGTACAGTCCCTATCTTGTACGTAACCTGGGGACTGCCTGTATAACATCTAAGTATTATTTAATATATAGAAAAGTCTAACAAACCCCCTTCACCCAGTTAATTAGAAACACAAATAGTTATTTGTCCAAAGGAAGGACAGCATCCGACACCGTCACCTCTGCTATCTCCAGTGGTTTTTATTCCTCACTGTTGTTGGTTTTTCCTTTTCTCAAAACAATAATCCACATAGTGGCGGTTTTGAAATGAGTAAAATATCTTTTTTTTAAATTAGGCAGAATAGCATGTGAGTTTTTACTCCAGAAATGGTCTGTAATGGCTCCACAAAGAAAAGCTCAGCCTCATCTTGACACTAAGCTGTTATTGGTGCAGACCGTTAATGAAGCACAGACACACAGCCCAACCCCACAACTTGCATGAGAGTAACCTTACTGTCTTGAGCGGTCCCAGTCACTTCAATGGGACTCATTCATGTAAGTAAGGATATTTACATGCATGCATTAGCCTAGTAGCATTCAATACCAGCTGGCAAAGGGCTCCCTGCTATGTAAAACTGGCCTGACCAGCTCAACACACCTCACACACACTACAAACATGTCATGTAATGTATCATTGGAAAACAAGTAACTCACTGACCCTTAATATTCTTGTGCAATGTAAGTATGGTGAACCTACAAACATGTATATAAAGCAGGGAAGTAAAGGCATAGCCCTTTAAATGTGTGACTGATGCTTATCAGTGACCCAAACTGGTTACATGTAGCTCCCAGAGAGCCGGCTGCTGCCCTGCACTCCTGCCTCTGTACCAGCGGCTTACGTGGGCAGCCGCACAACTCACATTTGAAACCCCCGATCTAGAATCCTTAGAAATTAAACACAGATTCATAATAAAACAAAATGAGTTTTCAAGTATGATTCAAATAATCATATTTGAAGTTACTTACTTTTCTAGGGACACCATTGATATGAAGTTTTACCATGTACTTTCCACATGGATTATACTCTGGTTCACCTTTTTTATTCTGAGGATGAATTATGCTATTAGAAAAAGAAAAAGAAATTGCAATGTAACTGAACAACGTGCTGCATGTATACATACTGTATGATTTTTTTAAAAAGTGTTACATTAATTTGATCTATTTTGGGAATTTAAAAATGCATGCCACCATTTTAAATTATTTGAATTTCTATGTAAAGTAATCTCTCAGAGCATGAGAGATTTAACTATTTTCTTGTTTTAATTTATATTTCAAACAAGATCTGCATACATCAGTCTCTCACCCACTCAACTAGTTATTCACAACCAAACAAAAGAAATGGATTCTAGTATATATTTTACTGTTCAAGCAATGTTATATAGCTTTCTAAATATATACAATGTTTCTATGCACTGCAAATCAAAGACCATTAGTAAAGAAGTTAAGAGAGCAATGCCCACGGGATAAGGTACTAAGAGACAATAAACTGCATTACTTTGGGCAAAAATTTGCTAAAAATAATTTATTAAAAAATGTCAAAAAACTCGAGCCCAGATCGCACAGTGGGCCCTATGTGGCAGATTGCTAAGCCCAATGGAGATCATAACAAGATCAGCACTTTAGCTAACAATATTACCTCAATTCTATGTAACATTAATGCTGAAGCAAATGTAGTACCTATTGTACAGCAGTTAGCAAAGAAAAAAAGTGAAAACATGAATGAAGCATGATTAAGGAAGGGAAAAGTAAAGGGAGATAAAAAAACCAGAACAGCCAAGTTTTCCAAATATGGATGTTTAAAAGTAGGGTACAAAAACCATATTCAGCATCTAATAGAAAGTGGTATCATTTTTTGAAGTGCTGAACCTCACAAACTCCCATGAAGTCAACAGGAACAGCTGAAGCTCACCTTTAAAAATAGAGACATGTTTATTCACATGCCCAAATATGAATTGAAGAGCCTAACTTTAGCAGATTGATTCAAGATTTTCAAACCTAACATACAATTTTGACTTTCTACAAAATGTAGTCTCTCATCCCTGGTCTACACTAGGGAGTTGTTTAGAAATAACCCCCATGATTTTGAAATGAGCAGAGCATCCACACTACCAAGCCCATTATTTCAAAATAACAGGCTGGTTATTTCAAAATAACTCCTGCTTTCCTTGGGGAATAATGCTAATTTTGAAGTAGTTTCAAAGTACTGGGAATGTGGATGCTCCACTGCTGCTATTTCGAATAACTACTCCCCGGTGCTTCATGGAGCTCTAAGTTGAGGTAGCACGTCCACATTAAAGGAGCCTACCTCGGACTAATTTTGAGGCTTCCCTGTAATGTGGACATGCTATTTTGAAATAGTTATTTCTGGGATTATTATTTTGAAATAATTTTTTTAGTGTAAACATGCCCTCAGATACATACATACACAAACACACATATATATGTTTATGTGTGAGCTTAACATAAACCCAAGTTAAGTTGTCACATCCATCATCCAGCCTTCTATCTGTTATAGCTAACGTTAAAAAGATACAGGCTTAAAACATGATACATAAATGACAAGATTTTCAATAGGAACTGCTATTCACCTTGTAATCAACTTTTTGTTGAATCGTCTCTCATAAGCTGCGCTGATAGCTAGCGATGCCACGAAAGAACAATCCGATACTATTGTCTAGGAGCAAAACACACTAGAGTGAGGGTTGAACAGTTATTAATGTAACAGGAAAAGTTCAATTAGAAGTGCTTCCAACAATTGGAAGGACTTCTGAACCAAGAGACAAAGACACGCCCAAAGGTTTAGGGAAACCTGTTTCTTCAAAACTAAAATCAACAGGGTGTGTCTAGACTTTCCAGTAAGTGATGCAGCAAGTGTCTATATAGCAGGTTTGGTGAAGACATGCTAAATCAATCTATTTGTGTACTCCCACCTCCTCAAAAAGCACAAGGGAGTTGACGGGAGACTTGCCCGTTGACACAGTGTAAACCAGCCTTCAAACAGAGAAAAGAAGTTAACTAGATGAGAACCAGAGACAGATGCTTACTAAATGTCCAGTGTGAACTTGTTCCATTTCAGGTTCTGACCCAGAGTCCTCTATGTGGCTTAATATTAGAACTTCTTATATATAGTTGTGCCACAGAAACCTCCACCACGCTCAATGATCTAACTTTGGTTTCCATTTAAGTGGCCTAAATTTAAATTTACCCGCACAGAATCTTGTTAATCATTTGTCAGATCTAGTAGTTTTTTTCTGTCATCAGACTGGAAATGGAACAATAACACAGATATTCGGACTTGTAGAGTAAAAACTGCCAATTACAAAACTCCAAGTATCTCAATGTAAAGTTATCTCTTTGGTAAAGGAGAAAAATAACTTAAGTTGCCACTAATCTTCCTCAAAAGGGTTAAAAAATACATATCAAATTAAAGACAGTTTACTTATTACATGTTTTAATTAGGGCTGGCAAGCAATAAAAAGTTGTAATTAATCACATGATTAAAAATTAATCATGATTAATTGCACTGTTAAACAATAAGACAACTCCAGCTGACCCCGGACTTCGTGCTGCACTGCCCCGCCCCTTTGAAATGCAGCACCCTATGGAAACACCTGCAATTTACGTGCATTAATTTTTTTAATGCATTAATTCTGCCCTGCGTTAATTGCAGGCATTAACGTGCATTAATTCACAGCCCTAGTTGTAATAAGTAATTGTAATATGTGACTGTTAGTAGGAGCCAAATTTGTCCTTTTTCCCCCCCTATTCTTAAATCCATAGAAGCACTGGAAAGAGATTAAAGCTAGCTGAATGGTGGACCCTGCCATCTTGTGGCTGATGGCAGGATAGAACACATTTGGTCATGCTAGACAGGGCATGCTCTGAAACTCACCTTACAATGGCTTTTTGGAGCAGCAGTATGTGCCCCCTCATGTATAGCAACAAACACTGATTTTAATTCTTGCTGTTAATTTAACTTCCATAGAAGTTAGAGTGCTCTGCCCATGGTCCAATTTTTCCCCATGCTTTTCACAGCTAACAAATCAGCGACTCTTGATTCCCAAAGTTCTGAAGAAGGCAGCTGTCTTGTGTCTATAATAGGCTGCTCACTGAAGTACCTCACTGCCTAATGTAGTTCAAACTATACTCCTTTGGATATGGTGATCTAAAATGTATAATAGTCACGTTTTCCATTTCTACCTAAATTTTCCCTCTGTTTATTCATATACTCAAAATAAAGTAAGATGGTCAAACAATTAAAAATCACAATCATGAGACTAAAAATGGTCGCAATTACCGTTTCATTTGCACTGTTAAACAATAAACCATTTAAATGTTTTATAAATACAACCAGGGCTTGACAAACCGTGGCAAAAATCTACTCGCTAGCCCCACATTGCGCATGTGCCAGACCCGCATTGCACATGCGCGCGCCGCCACTGAACGGGGCGACCGGCTGAAATCTACTCACCACGGGCGAGTAGATACACTGATTTGTCGAGCCCTGAATATGACATTGTATTTTCATTGTAAAAAGGAAAAAGATTCACCTCAAACAAATATTGTAGTACCATCATTATCAAAGCGCAAATTACTAATAATAAATTTTTAAAAATATAACTGCACTCAAAAAAGGGGGACATATGATTTTTTTTTAACATACCTAGTACATAGTTTACAATGTCTACTTTAACATGTGAAAATCTGTTCTAATTTTCAAATGACACTGTAAATGAGAAATAGACAGCATTACTCCCATAACTGTAAACAAACTTGTTTGTCTGAACAATTGACTGAGTACGAAGTAGGATTAAATAGACTTGTGAGATGCATTAAAATATTTCTTGTTTCTCTTTTTACAGTGCAAATATTTGTAAATCAAATTCATATGAAGTGAATATTACACTTTGTATTATAATTGAAATCAACATTTGAAAATGTGGAAAAAACATTTTTAAATACTCATAATAATTATAAATTGATATTCTAGTATTGCTTAATGCAATTAATCACCATTTAAAAAATCTAGTTAATTTGCTTTGCGTTAATCATATACATTAGCTAATAATTAATAATCCTATCAAAGTAAAATGGCCTATAGTGAAATCAAATATAGATCTCAGAAGAGGACAAAGTGAACATCTCCACATTCCAGGTTTTTAACAAGCAACCCAACATTACTTTAAAAAAAACCTGAACTCACTATGCAATTATCAGAATAGCTATTGTAAAAATTTCATTTTAGAAACAACTTACCTGCTTTATGCTGAAACTTGACACAGTATAAATCATTGTAGGGTTATTTGTTAGGTCATCTGGCCGCACCCACTTGGCAAATATTTCCTTTTGTTTGGGTGACAATGGTAACTTGCCACATTTATCTCTGGTTTTAAAAAAATAATTAAAAATAGTTCAAATCAACCAAAGACAGATCAGAAACAAATTTCCCATGTATATCCCATTTTATTTTTAGCAGCCATAGACATTACTCAACAATACCATTACCCCATAAGTGGGCAAAAGACACTACGGGCATGTCTACACTACAGAGTTATCTCGAAATAACAAGGTGAGTGTCCACACAGCAAGTCCGTTATTTGAAATTATTTTGAAATAACGGCTTCTTATTTTGAAATAACCACCCCTCATTCTATGAGGAACAACACCTATTTTGAAATAGGGTTAGTATGAACGTTCACCTGCTTCCTAGGGTGCTAAGTCAAGGTAGCGCATCCACATTAACAAAGCCTGACTCGGACTAATTTCTAGGCTTCTCTATAATGTGGATGTACTACTTTGAAGTAAGTTATTTTGAAATAACTCCCAAAATAACTATTTTAAAATAGCCTGGTAGTGTATACATAGCTTACGTGAAAATGCTAAATGCCTTTTTTGTTCCATTAGGGACTGTCTTTGTAAACTAATGAAAGATGGGAGTGATTACAGAGGACTGTAAGAGGGAAAAATACAGTGCTAATCTATAAAAAGGGGGTATAAAGCCAACCCTAGGGAATTATAGACCAGTTAGCCTAGCTTCAATACCCAGAAAGATAATGAAGCAAATCATCGAGAAATCAATTTGCAAACAACAAAGATAATAAGGTGAGACGTAAGAGTCAACATGAATATGTTACAAACAAATCATGTCCAATCGACCCAAAAGCATTAACAAATTGCTTCAGGAGATTCTGGAATTTCCACCCAAAGCTTTTAAGAAAAGACGCAACAAATATCCTGGTAGAAATGGTCTAGTTATTATGTAGTTCTGACTTGAGTATAGGAGTCTGGGCTAGGTGACCTGTTGAGGTTCCTTTCCAGTCGTACACATCTGTGATTCTATGATGTGTAAATACAGTTATAAAGTAGTCTAAGTTAATAGCCTTGTAAAGCTAGTAATAATTTGGAACATATCATACAATATAAAATACTAAATATTTTGACCTTTTTCCCCAGGTAAAACCAAATGGGAGAGGGGAATTCCAAAAGCCCTCTTTAACGAGAAAGATAAATTGTTTGTTTTGGTCACTAGTATTGAACCAGCAGGTGAAGAAGTTTATGCGATGCTATTCCAGTCTGGTTCTGGCAGGTTGCAATATATTAGACTGCAACTCATAATTCCCCATCTCCCCATATTGTCATTGAACTTTACATTTATAAATCTTCCAACAGCTTCACATTACTGAACTAAAAGCAGTGTTCATCTCTGCTGCGGTCTCCTCTCCCAAGGAAGTCACCTGAGTCCAGGTTCCTGCTTTCATAATAATATTAATACCCAGCTCTTACACAACACGCTTTATCAGTAGACCCCCAAGCGCTTTACAAGTAGGTTATTACCACTATCCCCATTTTACAGGTGGAGAAACAGATGCATAGAGGGGTGAAATGACTTGCCTAATGTCATCCAGAATGCTACATGCAGAATCAAAAATAGAAGCTAGGCCTCCTAAGTCCAAGTTCAGTGCTCTACCCATTAACCCACACTTCCATTTTTACTCTGAAGAGAAACTAAAGCTGTCCTCTGAAATTATGTGGAGAAGATATCAGGCTTACACTAAAACACCCCTCTCTCCAATCCAAGTCCAAAATTATGGAAGCGCAACTAAATAAGACACGGTGAAAAAACAAAGTACAGTGGGATCAGAATGCATGGAGTAGCACCAGGCTCAAACAGTACGAAGAAGGGCCAGGATTTTCAATTACAGGCAGTCCCCGACTTACGCGAATCCGACTTATGTCGGATCTGCAGTTACGAACGGGGCTTTTCTCGCCCCGGAGGACACGGACTGCGGGACCTCGCGGTCCTGCCGCCCGTGTACTCTAGGGC